ATCAGGCCCCACCCCGGCTGGGGGGAGCAGGGAGTGGCTGGGCACCAGCGTTTGGGGCTGCCCTGGGCACCCCTGCAGTGGTGGGACGACGCTCCAGGCTTTCCTGACCACAGATGGAGAGCGTGGGCACCCGGGGGCTCCCACGGTCCTCCCGGTGAAGGCAGGACCCCGCTGCCTGTGTGTGCCTGGAGAACCTCCCAGCAGCTCCTCTCCTGCTCCCAGCTGCCCCCATCAGCCCACTGCTGAGCCCCCATCCCAACGCAACCACCCCTGGGGCAGGGTGAGGGCCAGGGCGGATGGTGGGGGCCCACGACCATGCATCCCCTCTAACCTGCTGCTGGCATCGCTGCCCTGTCCCAGGCTCGAGCCCAACACCGTGATGTCTGAGACCACAACAGCAGCTGCTCCCGGCCAGGCGGAGGAGAGGGAGAAGGAGGCCCCAGCGCCAACTCCATCCCTCGACCCTGCGCCTGTTTCAAACAGCAAGGGTGAGGAGCCCTCCACAGAAGCCTTCAGGGTAAGCCCTGCTGCTCCCCACACGCAGGGACGCGGTCTGGGAGCGAGGGACGGTGGCAGCACCTCTGGGGCGGTCAGCAGGAGAGGGCAGACGATGCTGTCCCTCCCTGCCATGTCTCTCCGGGGCAGCAGCTCTCTAGGTGCAGGATTTGGGCAGCTGCTTGCAGGGCTGCTGCGGGAGGGGTGCTCCGGGTGCCCCTTGGCTGGGACAGCTTGTTGGGGACCACAGGCTTTGGAAATGCTCTCCCCCGGGCCGTGGCGTCGAGGCTGGGTTCTGCCACCCGCTCCCTCCGGTTGCCATCCGCGTGCGGGGGTCCTGTGGTGCTGGGGGGGTGGAGGAGGAGGCTGCGGGTGACAGGCCCAGCACTGAAATGCCGCGGAAGCACCGGGGCAGCATGCCACCGAGGTGCAGCAGCGAGGCTGGGGACAAGGGGCGAGCGATGCGGGGGTGCTGGCAACGCTTCTGCATGTGGAATGGGGTGCCCAGGGAGGTGGTCGAGCCCTCATCCCTGGGGGGATTTAAAAGAAGGATGTGCTTAGGGACAGGGTTTAGTGGTGGGATGGCAGGGTTAGGTTAACGGTTGGACTCGATGACCTTAAAGGGCTTTTCCAACCAAAGTGATTCTGTGATTCTGTTCTATGATTCTATGTGTCAGGCAGCCAAGGCCATGGCACGGACGCTGCTCCTGGAAAAGCAGCTCCTTCCCAGCCCAGCTGGGGCCTGGCATGGGCACCGGCACAGGGAGACGTAGCCTTGCAGCAACAAAGCTGGGGGCAGGATGAGGCCATCCCGGAGCAGGGATGGCTGTCAGGAGGGGACAGGGCTGCTGACGTGCAGAGCCCAGCTCGGCTTGTCCAGGCACCAGACCTGAAAAGCTGCAGGAAGCTTCAGAGATCCGAGGGGGCCGCGTGGGGCGGCGAGCTCTGCGTGCAGGGTCCGTGCAGGGACAGGCAGCACCGCCCTGCCCCCCCCGAGCACGCCTGTCCCCATCTGACCCCTTCCCTCTGCCCCCAGATTGTCGTCTTTGAGCAGGAGAACTTCCAGGGCAGGCAGATGGAGTTCACCACCGAGTGTCCGAACCTGGGGGACCGTGGCTTTGACCGGGTGCGCAGCGTCATCGTCACCTCTGGACCGTAAGTGACCCCAGCCATGGAGGGGACCATGTCCCTGGGGACACCCTGGGGAGGTGGGGACATGGTCCTGGGGAGCAGCCCCCGGTGTGGTGTGATGTGCAAAGGCATTTCCCTGCAGCTGGGGCAGAGAGCGGAGCGGGGCCAGCGCAGGAGCAGAGCTGGGCACCCCGGGTCTCCTTTGAGGAGGACAGGAACGGG